ACTGCCCGCAAGGGAAGGCAACTGCTAACAGACTATGGGAACAGCTAAGTAAGCAGTTGAATGCAGTAGGACCACCAACAAAACTCCCAAAGCTGTGGAAAAAAGTATGTATTTGATATTTTTATCAAAAACAACGCTAACAATTGCTTGTCTTAGGTATATGTTGATCAAAAGTATAATGCAAAGAGAAAGTTATCTTTTAATAAGGCCTCGAAACGACGCACAGGTGGAGGACCTTATCAGGAGAAGGTGCTAACACCAGCAGAGAAGTTGCTTATTGAAACAGCTGGGTTAGAAGCTTGTGTGGAGGGGATCAATTCTGTCCCAACCTTTGGAGATGTAAGAACCATTGTGTACAAATACAAGTGAGATATCTTAGCAATAGACGTCATCCTGGGCCACAGCTGCGATCATCTGTTTTTTAGAGTTGCTTATTTTGCTCTAAAGTGCGCTTTTTTGACCTGAGTTGCATTAAATAGTCTCTTAAAACTTGGTAGTATTTGTTGCTCAAATGGTAACATATATGCCCAAAAACTTGAAAAATATTAGATTATTGCTTTTTAAAAATGCTATTTATAAAATTTGGTTTTGATTGGGACATTAGAAATATTCAGATTATAAAAGTTTTTCACATATGTTTTAAGATTTTAAAGCTTTTAATATGTACGGTAGAATGCAACAATGTGCTTGAATTTGTTTGCTTCTTCGTCAGCTTATTCGTTTGCAGACTAGAAAAATGGCGAACAGCCATCAAAATACTGATTCAAAATACACACAAATGGGTGCGCGCAGCAAAATTCAGCCCTAATGGTAAGTTCATTTCATCGTGCGGCGACAAGTTAAGAATTTGCGATACATTTTCAGGCGTATGTATGCGAACGTTCACCGGGGGAAGAGGTATGGGACGACAGCTGGCATGGCATCCAGACGTCAATCTGGTGGCTTTAGCATTAAGTTGTAACCGCGTTAAGATATTTGACAAAGCTGAAGGCGAGCTAATACAGTGCATTCGTCGCCGGAGAATGATGTTGCATTTCACCCAAGTGGAAATTTCTTGGTGACTGGCGGCGATGACTATACAATAAGATTGCTTGATTTATTAGAAGGTTGGCCAATTACACGGTAGTAGTGCACTTTAGCTGATCCATATAAAATACATTTTTTCCTGTATTCAACAGTTGCCCGTTTGGAAATCTAATTTGCATACATTTGATGCCAATAGCTCGCAACAAACAAGCCAGTTCTCAAAGAGCCCAAATTGATTTTAGTCATGCAACAGCTCCACATTACTCCGCCATAGACACACCAGTTGCTGGAGTACCAAAAAGCTGTGATGACAGTATTTTAATTGATCCACGACAATCGGTGGCATATGGAATGCGTGATGGAAATTTTCTGGTGCTTGATAGCCAATATACTACAAGAGTGAAACGCTGTGATAGTATTTTTTCTTAAATTTCCATCTTTTATTTGCAGTGCATTAAGAAGCTCATAGAGGACAGAGCGGTTGGTGAGGAAGGTGTCGAGTTACTGCAGTACTGCAACTGGGAAAATCCGCATTTCGCACGTGTCCCACTCATATGGAATAGTAGCTTATGTCAAAAGGCTGGTTTTAGTATAATGCGGCATTCGCAACATACCCTCACTGGCGCCGAGCCGTTGAAGAAATTTTGGATAAATAAACGTGCAAGAAATAGTTCCGATACTAGCACGTCCATATTCTTGTTAAGGGTCATCAAAAAATTCCTTGTGTTGTAAATAATAAACGGATTGCCGGATTATACTAAAGCCAGCTTCCCGACATAAACTACTATTCCATACGAACACAGAAATATAAATGTATCTAAAACTGAATAACTCAAATCAAATTGGATTGCATGTGCATAATATACCTAATATTGGAATCTGTTTTGATCGTAAAAAATACAACTTGCAATCATTTAGATTATAGTTTTGAAAGAAATTGATTGCAATCGTAAATTATGTAAAAATTGTCAATAACAATCTGCCTAAAATTTATTTTCCCCATGTAACGGTTATAAAATACGTTAAATCCGCACTATCTGCATTAACAAAAAATATACATTGGAATATTTAAAATAAACCGATTCATATTTATTTTCTAATAATAATTGTTTCTTAATTGAAAGTATTTAATACTAATAAAATGTAGTGGTTAATGTTTTAAAATGAATTCGCAATATGTCCGCAGCTCAGGTGGATTTAAAGAAATCCGTTTAAATTTTTCGAATTACATCTACTTGAATACAGGATTGTATACAAATGGTAGTTCCGTAAATATTTAAAATATGTTAGTTCATTCAATATTTGCATCTGGGCCAATAAATAACAACAAATATAGCCGAAAAAAACAAAGTTTCAATTAAAACCAGTTTTTATAACCCCCCATAAAATTCCGATTAATTTTAAATACGAAAATAACGATATTTTTTATGGAGATTTATTTTTTTAATATACCTTGTTTATACCTACACAAAAACCGGATTAGCAAAAAACCGATTGGACTCAACATATATTTCTTTACAGCATTTATCCCCCTGTCTTTATAGCGCACTCGATAAAGTCTTATTCAAAAGTAAACAAAATTGCTATTTTTAAACGACATTTTTTTAATAAATAATTTGCGCGGTTGACCGAAATGGAAACAAACAATAATTGTAATTTATTATAACAATAATACGAATTTAAAACGGGCTGTATAAAGAAAACCAGCCTATTGTCACTTCACTTTCCAATGGTGCTGATTGCTGCAAGAATTATTTAGCGATTTAGAGCATAATCAACACAATATATGCACATAAATATGTATTATTTCACAGATCTCAGGGTCAGCTTAGAAATACGTTACCAAAATTATATAAAATTTAAGTAGGAATTATTTTTAGTTATAACGTAAAAGCGCTATCTGACCCAATCTGATAAGTATATTTCCCCTAAAGTTAACCCATTTTATTTAATTTGTCTCTCGTGGAAATATATATTTTATTTAAAATTTTCAGATATGTACATATATTTTAAATTTTTGCTTTAATTTTTGTCTCCTTTTAATATTTAATTAGATACCTTAAGATTAAAATAAGCCTAAAACGAAACAGCACAGCAACCCTTTTCTGTTCATCTTGAGAACACAAAACCCTCTTTTGTTAAAATTCGGCGCTGCACAAAATCCTGGCTTTTATATTTTCCAACAAAATACCACTTCGCAACCCTGGATCTTCACGAAGCGTTTCATTCGGGTCGTAGTTTGGCTACTTCGGGCCATTCGGTGTTGTATGCCATATTGGCTGCCATATTGTTCACACTGTCATCGCCATATTGAACACCCTGTCAACTATCTGTCAACCCTAAGATATCTCACTTGTATTCTTCCACAATGGTAAGAACTCCCTCACCAGCAGCTCCCTCGATTCAAAGTGAGGATGAATCAAGCTCCAGCCAGTTAGATTTACCAAGCACCTCTGCAGCCTGCTATACTCCTGCTCGAAAGCTTACTCCACGAGCAACACCAAAAGTAAAGCGGTCACAGGATACGAAAACGGCCCTGTTAGAGTGGAATTTGAAGGCAACGGCAGAACATCAGCGAACCATGTGCGGTAAATTCGACGAGCATCTTGAAATTCAAACAAGTAATTTTTAGCAAAAAAAAAAAACCGACTCAACTCCCATATAAAAAAAAATATATATATATATATCTCATGATCCGCTGATCGGATCTTAACCAAATTAGTATGGGACCACCTCTGAGACACTACCGGCAAAAAGAATTATCGAAATCGGTTGACGTGGTCCAAAGTTATGCGGTAACATACATAAAAAAAAAAAAATAAATAAATATTCCGACGAACTGATAACCTCCTCCTTTTTTTGGAAGTCGGTTAAAAAGACAGCTTGAGATTAGTGAGAGGCAACTTCAACTGAACGCGAGACAGCTTGATATTAATGAAATAAAGCTACAGATGAAAGAGGCGGAGCACCAAAGTCAAATGTCAACCAGCAAGTTGACTACCAAATAAAGTGCCTAGAATTGGAAGTGTTAGGCTCAAAGTCCAAACCCTAATTTATTTTATGTGATATTGAATTAATTAATTTAATTAGAAACAAACTTGCAACAAATTCAATCGGAAGTGAATTGGAGAAACTGCCGGAGTATTATTTTTAATTACTGTGAAGTACAAATTTTATTTTTTTTTTACCATTAGTATGTAGTAGTATGTGAATGTTTCTACTTTAAGTACCTTCAGACATATAATTAAATAAATGAACATGCAAACATATTTCATTATTTTTATTTTACTTCAGTTAAATAGGTATACTATAACTTCTATTTTAAATAAAATTAGACCGAATTTAAAAGTGAATGTTTAATATGGTCCCGTATAGTTTGCCCAATTCGGGTAAGTTGACCATCTTCTCCTATATCTATATCAAGATTACTTTCAGCCTCATAGTTTGGAGGATTATAACTTATTTTAAATTTAACACAAATGTTATGCAGCACCGCACATACATTTGCGAATCTAGCCACTTTTATCGGATCATACCTCCCTCTCTTGTCGTATGTTAAAATCCTCCAGTGGCCTTTTAACACACCAATCGTTCGCTCAACGATGCTTCGAGCTTTTGAATGTACCTCATTAAATCTTGCCTCCTCTGATCCTGAGGATTTCTGTAAGGAGTAATGCACCAAGGCTCGAGTGGGTACCCAGAGTCCGCTTTGAAATGTAAATAAAAATTTATAACTTCCACAGGTCGTTTAAAATTTATAGTATTACCCAGTAGCCAGGAATTTGCATTCCTGTTGTGCTGAAAACGCTCCTCAAAGTCATTCTCTGGTTGGAATGCTTCCACACAAAGGAATCATGTGCTGCACCCCCATACTGACAGTTGATTGCAAGAATCTTGTAAGTATGATCGCAAATCTAACAAACGAAGACAATAAAATGGAGATAATCTACTTACATTGTGCAAAATATAGTTACTTACTATCATAGCATTTAGACTGTGGAATCCTTTTCTATTAAAAAACATATGCTCGTCTTTAGTTGGCTTTTGCAGTCCAATATGCGTGCCATCCACACAACCAATTACTGAAAAGTAGAAATTAGTTAAGCATAACACTTTACTTAAGAATGTATGTATGTATGTATATTTACCTCCCGGTATTTTGTATTGCTCCACAAACCACTCCTTGCATTTCTGAGACTCGTTTAGGTCAAACCGTATAAACTCCGGACACAACTTGTTCTCCATTTCTTTACAAACATTGGATGTCAATTTTGAGATGGTGCTCTGGCACATTCCTATCAAATAGTCGCTACCAATTTCATGTTGATAGCTGCCGCTGGCGA